AATAACAGTAACCAATACATACTTTTAAATAATAACCTTAATTATCTCTGCACTCAAACCCCCAGTCAAAAGACACAGGTTAGTGGAATGGGTTAAGAAAGAAAATCAACCTTTTTGTTGTCTTCAAGAACCTCATTTCACCTTCAAAAATAAGCACATCCTGGGGATTAAAGTATGAAAGAAATATTACAAGAAAATGGCACTAAGAAGGTAGCAGATGCTGCAATTCTAGTATCTGACAAAGCACACTTCAAATTCAAACTAATCAGAAGAGGTAAAGAGGCTCATTTCATTCTAATAAAAGAAGTAATCAATCAAGGTGATATGACAATTATGAACATATATGCAGCAGACACTGGTTCACCCAATTTCATAAAAACAATACTACAGAACAATAAAACACATATCAAAGACAATTCATAAATAGTTGATAATTTCTACACCCCACTATCTCCAATAAACAGGTCAACTCGACAAAGAATAAACAAAGAAACAGCTGAATTAAATGATATCATGTATCAAATGGAACTAACAGACATCTACAGAATATTCTACCCAATGCCAAAGAATGCACTTTATATTCAGCAACACATGGAATTTTCTCTGAAATTGACCATAAGCTGGGACAAAAAACAAACCTCAGTAAATACAGAAATATTGAAATATTTCGATGCACTCTTTCAGACCGCAATGCAACAAAGCTAAAAATCAAACCCCCCTAAAAGCTCTAGTAACTACAAGAACTCATGGAGATTAAATACACTCCAAAATGATAAATGGGACAAAACAAAAATTAATGAAGAAATAAAAGCATTCCTTTAACTAAATGAAATTGATGATACAATATAAAACATCCTTTGGTACATGTTAAAAGTACCAAAGAAAGATGTTTATAACTATGTGTCTATATTAAAAAATCAGAAAGAGCACATATAAATGACTTAACCAGTACAACTCAAGACTCTGGAAGAGCAAGAAGAAACCAAACTCAAACCTAGTAGACTAGAAGAAATAAAAAAAAATCAGAGCAGAAATTAATGAGATAGAGGCAAAGAAAAACAAAGAATCTATAAATCTAAGAGCTATTTTTTAATATTTTGTTTTATTTTTACTTTAAACGTATGAGTGTATTGTCTGCATGTATGTAAGTGCACCCATGTCATGTAATACACATGGAGGTCAAAAAAGGTTATCAGGTCACCTGGAACCAGACTTACAGATGGTTGTTAGCTTCTGTGTGAGTGCTGGAAATCAAACCTGGATCCTCTGCAAAAGCCATTGCTATTAACCACTGAGCCATCTCTCCCGCTGTAAGAGGTGTTTTTTTTTTTTTTTAATAAACAAGACAGACACTTATCCCAGGTAACCAAAAAAAAAGGGCAAATCCATATTAATAAGAACAAAATTGAAGAGGGGACTGATGTCTCCACAGACATCAAAACAATCCAGAGCATTATTTGGAAATATTTTTAAAATCTATATTCTATTAAATCTGAAAATCTAAAAGAAACAAATGAATTTCTAAATTAATGGAAACCACCAAAGCTAAGTCAATAATAGATACCAACTTAAAGAGCTCCACAAAAAATTAGAAAATTGAAACAGCAATACAAATTCTTTCAACTAAAAAAGCTCAAGTCCAGATGGATTCAGAGCAAAATTCTACTAGACTTTCAAAGAATACCTACAACCAAGTCTTCTTAACTTATTCAAAAAGATAGAAAATGAGGGAGAAGTCCAAAACTCCTTCTGCGAACAAAGATGTAAAATTCTCAACAAAATATTTGCAAACTGCATAGAGACACACATCAAAAAGATCATCCACCATGATCAATTTGGTTTTATTCTAGAGATATAGGAATGTCTCAATATATGTAAGTCAATAACTGTAATAAACTGTATAAATTGTCTTTTAGACAAAAATCACATTGTTGTCTCAACAGATATAGAAAAGTCCTTTGAAACAAATAGCAGGCACTTATATTAAAAGTCTTCTAGTTAATTGGACTGGAGGGAATATACCTTAACATAATTAATGCTATATACACAAAAAAGATTGAGAAAACACCAGGAGATGGAAGGATCTCCTGTTACCATACATTGGAAAAATTGATATTGTGAAAATAACCATTCTACAAAAAAATATATACATTCAATGAAATACAAATCAAAACCCCCATGACATTCTTCATAGAACTAGAAAAAACATCCTAAAATTCATAAGGAATCTCAAAAACCCCAGAGACCAAAAATGTTCTTTAGAAAAAAGGAGCAATGCTGTGGGGATCACCATACCAAATGCCAAACTATATTACTAAGTTATAATCATAAAAACAATATGGAATTGGCACAAAAACAGACCAGTAGATCAATGGAATATAATAGAAGACCCAAACATGAGTGCATGCAATTTCAGCCACCTGATACTTGACAAAGTTGCCACAGGAAAAATGGGGACACTTTACCTGAGTAGGGAGGAATGAGGTTAGACAAGCGGAGAGAAGAGAGTAAAAAAAAAAAAAAATGCTTATGTTATTTGAAAAGCCAGTGTGAAATGTATTAACTCAAAAACCTAAAAAATACACATACAATATCTGAACATTACTATATGTAGATAGACATCTGAAGGATGTGTAACAGGAATCATAGTGCCAGACAGGAGAAGTCACCTTCAAGTTATTGATCAGGGCAGTCCAAGATACTCACACAACAATACAGGCAATTTCACACATGTGGTACACTTACATACATGCAGAATACACACATATACACACAAAATAACAAAAATAAATAAAAATTTTAAAATTAGAATATCACACACAGAGAAATACAAATTATAGATACACAAAATTAAAGACAAAGAAATAAACACCCAGTTTTAAAAGTTATGAAAGCAATACCTACAATTTTTTCAAAATAAAATTTCTGAAACTTATTTTTCACAAAGACATTATTATTTTTATGTCTACAAGGAATTGGTTAACTCTTTTTTAAAATACTTTATTTTTTTATGTGTATGAGTGCATTGCCTGCTCATAGGTAAGTGCACCCATGTCATGCAATGCCTGTGAGGACAGAAGAGGCCATCGGATCCCCTGGAACTGGAGTTATAGACAGTTGTTAGCTGCTATGTGGGTGCTGGGATTCGAACCCAGGTCTTCTGCAAGCAACACCTGTGTTCTTAACCACTGAGCCATCTTTCCAGCCTGAAATTGGTTAATTCTTAGGCTAATTTACATGTTTTCAAATTCAACTTGAAGACAGATGATTTAAGTAAGTGTTTACAAACATTTTCATGATTAGTCATTTAAACAAAATATTTTTACTACTAAGTATTTTTTCTATTAAATACTTGTGATATAAGAGATTCCAAAATATGGGTGTTAAGAGGTTCATTTCACCCTCACAACTGCTTATTTTTAGCTCAAAGGCAATTATAGTTACTCAAATATCATCTGCATCTTATATAATGAATGATTTTTACTGATTCTATTCTTCTATATATATTTGAAACCATGCTCCATGTTCAAGGGGCTATAATTTGATATAAACTAGTTTTTAAATATTTAGAGATAAGAAATAACTTAAAAACATGAATTATTTGCATATATTTTACACTATATTTAAAAAGCTCATTAAAATTAATAGTTTATATCATTATATAGTAAATGTTTATTCAGTCCAATTATAACAAAACAGGTCTTTACTTTTTATTGGGAATTCTCAAAAGATATACAGTGTTATGTCATTCTGATATGATTGAATTTTGGTTTTAGTGTGAAAGAGATTGGAAAATATATTGCTAAATAAAGAAATTTTGGAACACAATAGGAAATTGATGAGGAAAGCCAATAAAACTACAAAACTACAAAACACCTTTTTGCAAACAAATCAAGGTCAGTTGGAAAGCAGTGCATCATTTTACAGTTTATTTGTTGAGGATCATTTATTGATTCCCCTACCATTTAAAACACCTAATCATTTTAACCTTCAAAGAATATTGCTCAAAGAAAGATAAAAAAAATCTATTCTTTTATTGTTGTTAGATTTTTATTTTAAAATGATTGCAGACTCAGAGAAAACATCAATGTAAAATATGAAGCAAGATCAATAGTGCCCCTTGCTCAATTTAACAAAGTAGCAACAACTTGCATAACAAGCTTCAAAAACATAAACTTGACTTGGCAAGCATTATATAAGGTGTTCAGATTTTCTAGGTTTTATAGGCCAATGTATGTGTGTGAAATTCTCAGCAACTGCATCACAGATGTGGTTTTATAAAACCATCACCCTAATCAAAATATAGAAGCAGAACTAAAATGCTTTCTTATGCTAGGCAAAGTATGGAACCGCACCCCTATAATCTCAGTACCTGGGAGACTGAAACAGGAGGATCTTTAGTTCAAGGCCAGCCTGAGCTGCATAAGAAGTTTCAGGGGATGGTAAGATGGTACAGTGGTTAAGAGTACTCGCTGCTCTTCCACAAAACCCAGGTCCAAATGCCAGCACCCACAGGGTGGCAAACAACTGTCTATAACTCTAGTTCCTCAGTATTTGAGGCCCTCCCTCTTCTGTCTTCTGGGAGCATTGTATAAGAAGGGTATACTTACATAGATGCAGGCATAACATTCATGAATATATAAATTAAAAATAAAGAAAGAATTTTTTAAAAAGAAGTCTCAGAGCCATTTGAGCTTGTTATCAAGCCCCTGTCTCACAGGACAAGGGTGGGTTATACAGTGTATTAATAATGGTACTTGTTTCAATTTTGAATTTATCCTCTGTAGCTACTAGTAAACAACATAATTTTGTCACTTAATATATTATATAAATGCAAATCATATATAAATAAAAAATATTATATAAATCTATGTCCCCTTAAGAAGTGTTTTTTTACTCATTCATTCTCTCTCTGTCTCTCAGTCTCTGTCTGTCTCTGTCTGTCTCTGTCTCTCTGTCTCTGTCTCTCTCTCTCTCTCTCTCTCTCTCTCTCTCTCTCTCATTATTTGGGCCTGGGTTTCACCATCCCACACCTTGGCAGCGGGAGGTGAGCCGAGGCCCCTGGTGGTTCTGGGCACGAAATCTCAACCCAGGCCATGACCAAGGCCAGTGGTGATTTTCAACAATGCTGGGCATCATATTCCCTTAAAGTCTTCTTAAGTTGTATGTCAGTAATTCATTCATTCTCACCACTGTAATTTCTCTGGTATGGAAGTAATCAACCCAGAATAACAACTCAGCTGTCAATGAATATTTAGCTTCTGTACAGTTTGCCGCCTTATGCCTGAACCTGTTATGACTGTTCTTGTTCAGATTCTCATGTATCATTTCTCTGGTAAAAGTACAAAAATGCAATTGCCAGTTCATGTGGTAATAGCAGGTTTATGTTTTTAAGGAATTGCCAAAATATTTCTAGAGCTAGTGCATTCCTTTATGTTTCCACTAGCAATGTGGAAGAAATGTATTGCCATGTTTTTTATAGCCAATCTTCTATGTGTGTAATGATACTCTGGTTTTAATTTTCATTTCTCCATTAGTTAATGATTTTGAACAACTGCTTATGCTAATACTTAGCCATACATCCCTTTGCAGGAAATGCCTGGGCTGTTAGGTAAGGTGTGTGCAGATGTTGCTCCCAATGGCAGATCCTTGCCGTTGTCTTACTGGAGTCTTTTGTATGTGAAAAGTTTTTCATTTGATGCAGTTTAGTTTGTCCTGTTTTTCCCTTTACAAATCATATTTTCAGTAACCATGGCTAAACCTTTTCTCCTACATCTAGTTAATAACTTTTTCCTACTGTTTTTTTTTTCTTTTTTAAGTCCAGATTCACTTTGAATTAATGTTCTTCGGGTAGGTCTTTCTTTGAATTAATTTCTATAGGATACAAAGTGTTATGTTCAATTTTTGGTATCATTTCTGGAAATGTTTCCCATCTTGCCTCCACTGAATTGCTGATACACCACTGTTAAATGTCATCTGGGAAGAAGTCACCTTAGAGAAGAACCTGGTACTGCCATTTCCATAAGCCAATACAATTTCTAAGTGTAGTCTATAAACTTATCCTTAAATCCAAAGATAAGTGTAACTCTTACCCCTCTTCAAAGAAGCTTCCTTTTGCAACAGATAAAGACAGTTAGAGAACTGCTCAAAATGCAGAGGCTGAATGACTGTGGGCTGCATGACCCTACCTGATACATCTACAATGCAACTCCTATACCAAGAACTCAGTGAACAGCACAGAAGGGAGGATGGGAAGATATAAGTGCCAGATGGTAGGACACTTGCTGCTAGATCGTGTGTTCTAGACATGACAGAGAAGCTGCATTCCTGATATATCGATACTATGGTTGCCTAAACAAGACCTGCCAAATCCCACACTAACCAACATGCCAACAAGGATGAGAGAAATCTCACAAGGTCCCATCTTTAGATGAAGAGCTGCAGAAAATTAAGGGCTGCTGAGAGGGGGAAAAATCAGGTTTCTCAAGGGATGAATGGCCTAATTGGTTACCCAATCTGAAACAGTCAGCCCTAAATGCATATATGTAGTAACACTGCTACATGGGCTCGGTGGGCTGTTTACAGATGCATATGTAACAACAATAATCAAAGAAGAATTCAGGGTATTGGGGGAATGTGGGAGGAGTAGGAGGTATCATGGAGGAATGGAAATGATGCAAATACAATATTCATATATGAAATTCTCAAAAAATTTAAAAACAGACTTGGCATATTTTATGATATGAGGTTCATTTCTCCATTGATCTATTTACCTATCTCTCTGATAATACTGCACTATCCTGATAAAGTGATGTAAAGAACAGTGCACTGTAACTGTTCTGTTCAGTGTTCTGTTTAACAGTACACTTTAACAGGAAAAGGGATTCTTATTTTACGCTTGTTTTCTAGTGTTATTTAGCTATTCTAAAACCTGAAATTTTGTCAAATAAATTTAGAATATGCATGTGCATATCTATAAAATCCTCTCTGGGATATAATAGGAATTACAATAAGCCCAGAAACCAACTTAAGAGAGTCTTGACATCTTCACTTGGCTACATGAGACTTCCTGTTCTTTAGAAATGTTTCCTTTTCAACATTACCAGCAGTGTGTATAGTTACTAAATAGATCTATGTATGCTAAATGTTTACTTATATATTTATTTAGTGAAACGCAACTCTTATGTTTCAAATTTATGTGTCTATATGTTGATCACTATTGTACTAATATAGGATGATACTCGGAAGCTGTGCAGGTGAGGAGATTTTTGTTTCTGCTTTTAAAATTCCCTTGTTTTGTATGTGGACATAATATCATTTGCATAAGGAAAAATTTATGTGCCTTCTGTTCTTCTGTCCTCCACTTACTCATTACCCTGTGTAAGACTCCCATGTGGTGTTGGGTCCAAATGCTAAGAGTAGATATCTTAGCCCCATTCTTACTTATAAGGGGTGAACATCCTGCCTGTCACTACCATGTTTATTATTAGAAACAATATTATTATAGATATCCTTTACTCATTTGAAGTGATTGTCGTCTCAAGTCAAATCACATAGCTCTTTTTCCACTGTATTGATTTTCCTTTCTTTCTAAATTTCCAAACACTGATCTGGTTTCACTTTTACTTCTGCTTGGAAAAATTCTTTTAGACACTCCTTAAGATTAGGTCCATTAGCAACAAACTCATACTTTCCATTTGTTGTTGAGAATCTCTTATTTTCTTGGGATACAGATTTAAAAATAGACAATTTTTCACCACTTGGAAAGCATTGTGGCACTTATTATCTGTTCCACATCGTGACATATGAGAGCTCCTCTGTCATTCAAACTGTTGTTCCCAGCTATATACTTCGTCTTTGTTCGCTAGATTTTTTTCAATGTTTTTTTAGCTGGCCTCCAGTTCTCAGAGATTTGATTACAATGCCCCATAAAAGGCATTGCTTCCAGTTTGCTCTGTTTGTAGTTTGCTTAGATCTTAAAAAACGATAGGTTTTCAGCCTTTTAACAAACTTGAAGAGATTTTTAGCCATGTATATATGCTCTAGGACTCTAATATAACCTTTAGTCTAAGAAATGGACAGGATAACTGCAAATCTTGAACATGTATAACCAGTCCATTTCTTGTCACACAGGAAAATTTTTTACTCAGTATTCCCCAATTCAGTATTTCCCAATTCGTTGGTTCATTCCTCTGTCATCTCCAGTTATTTAGCTGTCTGGGGGAGGTTTCACTTTGGTAATTTGTTTTTTAATTATATTTTTTTTTCAAAGATTTTCTAGGTATCTTTTCCTTCAAAGATTTTCTTTTATTATTGATGTTTTTCATGGATGATTTCTGCTATCAATTTGAGGCATCTGGGAAGAAGGAACCTTTATTGTGAAAATTCCTCTGTATGATTGAACTGTGGACATGTCTATGAGGCATTTTCTTGCTGTTGAGTGATAGAGGAGGGCCCAGTCCACTGTGGATGGTGTCATTCCTGGGCAGGTGGTCCTTGTTTTATATGAAAGAAAGCAGGCTGAACACAGGGTAGAGGAGCAAGTCAATAAGTGGCATTCCTCTGGAGTCCATGCTTTGATTCCTGCCCCCAGGTTCCTGGCCTGAGTTCCTGCCTGACTTCCCTCAAGGATGGACTGTCACCGAAGTGTAGCATGCAATAAAATCTTCCTCCCCAAGTTGACTTTGGCAATGGTGTCTTGTCAAAGCAATACAGACCCAAACTAGAGCAATACTTAAAACTGTGTTTAGATAATTCCTACATCTGAGTCATTTCATTGCTATTTTAATTCAATTGTCTTTTAATTCAAATTGTGCATTTCCTTGTATTTCAGTAACATAGTACCTTTTTGTTTGTTTCCCGAATAGTTTACTATTATGCTATGGGACTTGGACTCTTACTGTTTATTTTCTTCAAGCTCTTGCCTTATTTCTGTATAGTAATCAGCCAAGGGAGAGTGATGAAATACACCTTGCCAGCACATGAGGACACTCTGGGGTACGGAGTCACTCACAGAAACAGCTCTGACTCACCTGTGTTACCGTTACCTCTACATAAGACAGCAATTACACTTTATCTGTTAAAATGTACTGGCAGAAGTCAAAGGGGGAAAAGTGTCAATTTGTATTATCTTGTTGCTGCCAGGGGAGTGTGTGCATAAGGGAAAGAGAGTAAGAGAGAGATAAAAGAGAGAAAGTTTATTTAAAACCAATGAAATGTAGAAGTTTTGTTCACCACAATGGGCAAACTAATGTAGTAATCCAGTAGTTACTAAGACAGACAGGACTACATGGCTAGTAAATGAGACAAAGGCAATTAATAGGGTTTCTTCCAAAGAACAGCAGGTCAAGAGAAAAGAAATGCTGGCATGGAGATCCAGGCCAGCCTGGTCTACACAGGAAGTTCCAGGCCAGCTGGGACTACAAAGGGGATGGGAGAAGAGGAGAGGAAGGGAGAGGAGTCCCCACAGAGGAAGGCATGACTATGGGGATGATGTGTCATGATCTCAGTATCAAAGAACAAGGGACTGATTGTGTCCCCGACCGCTTTCCATCTCACCGGCAAGAACGACACGGGAGGACAAATCAGGATCCTTCTGCAGCAGTTTATTGTATGCGCATCTTACACTCTTAGAAGCTTAAAGACCGAAGACGCCGAGAAGCGGGAGAGCGGTTGCTTATATAGTCTAAAGGTCCCATCTATGACGTATAAGAAGCGGATTGGTTGCTGGAGATCACGCCACGGGAGGAGGCGAGGGAGAGCAGGCTCTTGTGCACGCCCCTTATGGGCGCAGCAGGATGTTTACTGTTAAGAAGGTCCGGATACCGGCGCCATCTTGTAATGGCGGCGGAGGCTGTGGCTCTCCACACACATCATGGCTTTTGGTGGTGACAACCTTGTGCATGTCAGGATGCTGAGCAGCATCTGGCCATCTGACCACTGGATACCAGAAACATTTTTCACCCTAGTCATGAGAAAAATGGCCAAAAGTCCTCTGGAAGGCAGCCACTCTGGGCAGGAATACTTTTATGAGAGAAGCAAAATGATAAAGTTGATGAGTATACATAGTAGGAGTAGACTTAGAGAAGTTTCATCTGCCAGTAAATATAACAGTTGCTTCCAGATTCC